GGAGCGGTCGTCTGACTCGAAGTTGTATTTCAGCCTCTCCAAGTTGCCGCTCAAGGCCGCCGAAGCCACCGCAACACTGCGACCTTGATAGTCTGCCCCAAATGATCAGAAGTCAGAAAAAGGCTTTAAAAAGATAAGCGGTCGTTGCTCCCAACCTGGGGGCACGCATTCCGACGCTGAACCGCCAATTCCTTCTGACCTGAAGAAGAAGAGGGCCGCTTCTCGGGCAAACCCTGCCTCCCACAGCGAGCAGCGCCAGTCGTCGCGCGCTCACATTCCGCCGACCGCCAGCGCGACCGGAAGCCCTTAGCAGCATGGAAAGCAACTCGTCGTCCCCGTGAGCCTCCTCGGCCCACCTATAAACGCCGACTTCAGCGGCTCGCAGGGAGTGCCGCGAGACGTGTCCGCTCCTTGATCCAGCCAAGCTCGCGCGCAAACTTTGCAAAGATTTCCCGCTGCGCGCAGAAAGAGATAATGATCCCGCGACTGCGGGGTCAGCTGGCTGATGCATCTCTTATCAATCCTACCGGGCACGTGCGCGCACATGTCCAACTCCACCCCCGTGCAGAAGGCGCGCGGCCGGACAGAGGGCCATACTGAAGGTGTCAGCAATCTCAAGATTTCCGGACTGGCGTTGGAAGCACGAGCCCACTCCAAGGCGATCCGATCCGGATGACTCGCTGTGCCACGACTGAGATCGGTGCCATGATGCAGCCAGAAAGCCAAGCATCTCTCACACTTGGCTAAAACAGCGTGAAGGAACATGTAGTGATCCCGCTTGCCCAAACATCATGAGAGAGCGCACGGTGACGCCCAAAACGCCTCAGAAATCCTAAGAGTGTGCGCACCGTGACGCCCAAAACCTCTCACAAATCCTGAGAAAGTGCCGTGACGCCCAAAACTCCTCAGAAATCCTGAGAGAGCGCACCATGACTTCCAAAACTCCTCAAACATCATGAGAGTGCGCGCCGTGACGCCCAAAACTCCTCAAACATCATGTGAGTGCGCGCCGCGACGCCCAAAACTCCTCAAGCGTTCTGAGAGAGAGCACTGTGACGCCCAAAACTCCTCAAACATCATTAGAGTGCGCCCAAAACTCCTCAAACATCATGAATGAGAGACAATGAGAGAATTGCCTCTAGGACAGAAATTGACGTTTTCTGAGCCCCTAGAATCTCCCGAGAAATTCATCCCCAAATGGGGGGAAATCTAGGAAGGCCGGAAAATTGATCCGTTTTTAACTACCTCTAGGACAGAAATCGCCGTTTTCTGAGCCCCTAGAATCCCCCCGAGAAATTCATCCCCAAACGGGAGGAAATCTAGGAAGGCCGGAAAATGGATCCGTTTTCAATTACCTTTAGGACAATCATCAGGGTTTGTGTAGTGGGTCATAAGCTCCCAAACCCATCCAAGAAGCTAAATAAATCGTCGCTTCAACTCCCTTTAGCCTCCTCTTCTACATCTCTCCGTGAACGTCTCAGGTTCCGGTCTCTGCTCTTCCAGACCACTCGAAATACGTCTTCTATAGACCCTCCCATGAATCTCTCGGCCCTTGGCCTCTCTTCCTTTAAATTTTCCTCGTCGAGACAAGGTGCGCGGCGAACTTGAATGTTTTATGTTCTTTCATTCTGTCTTCGCGAGCAACCGAAACTCCTGCAGGATCGCTTCTGGCTTGCTGAGAGTGAGTAGTGCTTGCTTTCGGCTGGTTGCAGCTGCTGGATGGCTGATCCTTCCGTTAGTCTCTGTCTGTGATGAGGCAAATGTCGTCGGCTATGTTCACATTGCTGATTAGGTGCTTCGACGTCTCATAGCTTATATGGATGAGGGCGTTACGGTGCGCTCCCTCATGATGTTTGAGGAGTTTTGGGCGTCACAGTGTGCTCTCTCATGATCTCTACTGGAGATGGAACTAAGGAAATAAGATCCTTATTTCCCTTCGCTTTCCGGAGATGGAGGAAGGGACTTGAGATCCTTGTTCCCGAGGTGGAAGAAGGGAAATAGGACCTTATTTCCCTTTGCTTTCCATAGATGGAAGAAAGGAAATAAGATCCTTTTATGCTTACTTACCTTTGCTTGCCGGAACTGGAAGAAAGGAAATAAGATCCGTATTTCCGTTTGCTTTCCGGAGATGGAAGAAGGGAAATGAGATCCTTGTTGCCCTGTGTTTACCCTTGCTGTGCCTACTGTCGTCACGACTGTGGTAACCCCCATTACTAATATGTAGACAGGCTTTGTCAAAGGTTTTTGAAAATTTGTGAAGTTTGTTTTCGCAGCTTGCTGTGCTTACTGTCGTCAAAGACGCAGTACGTATCCCCCCTTACGAAAACTCAGACAGGCCTTGTCAAAAGTTTTGGAAAATTTGTGAGGTTTGTTTTCGGACCTTGCTGTGCTTGCTGACGGCACGAACGTAATTCACCTCCCCCACCCTTCCCCCCCTTCCCCACCTTCCCACCCGCGCCACCAGAAACGCGAAGGTAGCGATGTTGTGCAGTTTTTCAGAGATACGCCGCCCTCTCCAGAAATTTCAAACGAGGCCGAAGCCACTGTAGAATCATCTTGAGATAGAGAAAAAAACTTACCGTCAGCTACGCGACGTTGCCCTAGTAGTAGTAATAGTAGTAGTAGTAGTAATAATAATAGTAATGATAAGCGCCCCGGCTCAAATTCTGCTCGTTAGCTGAGCTGCAGTGGAACTGATGCAATGGATCTGGATGCTTTGCTTGCTAGGGACAATGCCAGTGCAAGCCTGCGAGATAGGAACAAGCGCAAACGCAGTAGTTCACAAGCACAACGACCAGCAACGGAGCTGGACAGCTGCGCAGAATCCAATGGAAGTATTCAGCATTCAGACACGCAACACTGCCTTGAGGAGGGAGCATGGCATTGCCCGCCTTTTGAAGAAGCCAGGTCTAGCAACAGCCTTCTCATGTTTGAGCGAATTGCACTTCACTGAGCTTATGCGGCACATGCACCACCGATGTCAGGAGCCTCGGACTCTGGGTGTATCTCAGAGAACACCAACCCAACATCAGACTCGTGAAGGGAAATAAGACCTCTACTTCCTCTTGCTCTCCAGAGATAGAAGAAGGTTAATAAGACCATTTCCCCTTGCTTCCGGAGATGGAAGAAGGGAAATAACATCCTTATTTCCATTGTTTTCCGGAGATGGCGTAAGCAATTCTCGTATCGACCGAATTTTGAGGATGCTCCGCACGGGAGTGCGATATTGAATGAAGACTCGATGAAATTTTGAGGATGCTGCGCATGGGAGCAGGATTTTCGTCAACAAATTTCAGGATGTCACGCACGGGAGCGCGATTTTTGATGAAGAAACGACGAAATTTTGAGGATGCTCCGCACGGAAGTGCAATTTGCATCAAAATTTTCAGGATGCTCCGCGCGGGAGCACGATTTTGAACGAAAAACGATGAAATTTTTAGGATGCTCCGCACGGGAGCGCGATTTTCTTCAACATTTTCTGGATGCTCCGCACGGGAGCGCGATTTTCGTCCATTTTGAGGATGCTCCGCACAGGAACGTGATTTTCGTTCAAATTTTCAGGATGCTCCGCACGGGAGCGCGATTTGCTTCAAAATCTCGAGGATGCTCCGCGCGGGAGCGCGATTTTCTTTAAGCAAGACGACCTTGAGCGGAGCATTTTGGTATAGAATTGGTAAGAGGATCCGTCCCGTAAACGATCAAATTTTGGACGACGATGCCGACGAATCCTATACCAATCCTATACCGGAAAGCTCCGCCAAATACCTCCCTTTTGAGCCCGGCAAGCCACCTCGAACGACGTTCGTTTGGTATAGGATTGGTATAGAAACCCTCGACATCATCGTTCATAGATGATCTCCGCACGGGAGCGTCATTTTGATCGATTTTGATGAAGATAAATCGATGAAATTTCGAGGATGTCTCGAGGGAGAGCGCGTTTTCTGAAAATATATGATGAAAATTTTCCGAATGCCCTGCACGGGAGCGCTATTTTGATCCATTTTGATGAAGATAAATCGACGAAACTTCGAGGATGTCTCGAGCGGGAGCGCGATTTTTGAAGATACAAGCATCATCAAAACGTCAAAAAAACATGTTGTTTTTTTTGAAAACGCAAAATCTGGAATTTTCAGGATGTCCCGTACGGGAGCGCAACTTTCAAAAAATCGAGGCGCGACGGGTTCGGTAACGGACCCCTCTACCAAGAGCACTTTAAAGGCGAGGCTTCGTATTTTTTGCTCGAAAATCGATAAAAACTGCCGATTTTTTGAGGATGTCTTGAGCGAGAGCGCGATTTTCAAGCGAACAAGGGCGCGTCCCAAATGTTTGCGCGACGGAAGCACGCGGATGACGGCGGGCGACTGTGCATCTAAACAAGTAGAACCCCACAGTGAATTTGGGAAAAAAGAAACAGAATATCCTGTAATTCCGCAACCATTTTGAACTAGACCATGAGATTGGTTGCCCGACATGCCCATCTTTTCTGGCAGCAGTGGCTCCGGATGCAAGATTTTGCAGCATGAGCAAAATGAGCTGTGAGCTCATCACCAGCTCGGCCTTTTCGTGTTGAGATTCATGGTCTACAGCTTGGATGCCAGGTCTAGATGTTGTGAAGCAGGTGTTTGGCTTTGGGCTTGGCCAAATCCATCAGACGTAAAGATACCTGCTCACAGCGGGCCAAGTGCCTTCGATACGTGGCCCAGCCAAAAAGGGCTTCACGATTTCACGATTCAGTTTGGATGGTTTGGATGTTCGGAAGTATGCGTGCAGATGTTGTATAAAGGGAACGGAGGTAAATGTTCCAAAAGGGAGCTGGTTCGCGAACTTGATGCCTCGCATCCCATGCGAGAAAGAACGGAACGCTATATTCCTTCTTGCGTTTCTGGGTGTCGCAACAGAGGCCTTGAAGATAGCGCACCCATCAGGAATTTTTGACAGTGCAACCCTTTCTGGGTTCTTTTTGCAGCTTGCTAACTTTGAATCTCACCTTGGTAACTAAGGATCCTCACAAGCAAGAGTTCCTCAGGGGGCACGATGCAGAGGCATCCGGGCAAAGTTCTCTCATGCTCCTTTGCTGTGCGGTCGATGCCCGAAGTATACATTGACATGGGTCCCGTGTTTCTTTGCCCTTTTCTTGCTTCATGTGCCCTATGACTCAGCGCCGAAACATCAGACACACGCCTCCGTTTTGATGTTCAATGCTCGACCTGAAGACGATGGGCTTCCTTTTTTGGTATGTTGCTTGAGACACGAGTATGCACAGAGCCTGGCTCAGGAACATTAACACAAGAGTCACCACAGTTGCTGTTGAGCCAGGTTTCAGCTCTCGACGTGTCCCTTAACGGCAAACTCTTGGCGAGTGGCCAGCTCAAGCCTAAGCTTGACCACCCGTTCAAGCAGTGTGGTCATGGGCAGGCGATCTAGGATTGACAGACGGGAGCGAACAGAATGCCCTTGCTTAATGCTTTCAAGTCTGTGAGTTCGAGTTGGAAGGCCCAGCTGTTGTGCGAAGCTGGCAAAATACATTGCTCGCAGATTTTCCGTCAGAGCAGCTCGCTGACTCAGCAGGTCTGGCATGCGGCATAGGGCATTGAAGTTGTTAGCTGCAAGCCCATGCCCCCAGACCCAGCTTGCTCAGACATGTTAAACTCAAAATCATACTTGTAACGCTCTCGCATGGACAAATGCTCGGATGAGAATTAATCGCTTCCGAACCCCGGGCCATCCAATGCGGTAGCGAGGTCACTGCCAGAGGTTGGCCCCGAGGATGTACCCAGTTGTGATCAACGAATCCGGGGCGTTTTGAAACTCTACCCAGAGGTTCTTTCTTGTTGCCATCAGCATTGGGAGACTGAGAAATGGCAGAGCTTCTTTGAAGCATCAGTCAGGGTTCGCAAATCTTTCAGGCTCGGTTCACCAAGCAGGAAAGGAGCAGTTGCGCTGCGCACTCGGATGCTTTTCTTCAGTCTCATATGCAACCATTATGCTGTTCCTAGCTTGGGTGGCGCTGGCAAGGCCTGTGGTAGTGTGGGACTTCGACAACCGAAGCCGGTATATCGATTTCCATGGAGCCGGCCTTAGCTCGTACTTCTCTTAAAAGAGCAGGTGTGCAATAGGTGTGCAATATTGTGCACTGGCATTGGGCGTAGCGCTGAGCCGGCTGAACCAAGGGCTAGCGCACTCGGTCCTGTGTGCACGCAGCTCAAGCGGCATGTGCTTTGTGCACTTGCTTCAGACAGCAGACTTGCGTGGGCTTGGATGATTTCGTCTACTTGCTTAGATGGGTGTGTTGCTTGCCTGTGCAGTGAGGTCAAGTTTTCTCCAGATGGGCGTTTCCTTGTCGCGACAGGTGCAAACCAAATGCTCCTTGCCGGAGCTTAGGGCTTGGCCTTTGTTACATCTCAAAGACACACTTTTTGAACGAGGCTGTACGTTTGGGATGCTGCGAGCTCAGACTTCGGAAGCCTTCTAAGATTCTAAGCAAAGGTCCAAAAGTCATGAGTTGCGGGTGCCGCCTTGCTGAAGGTGTCGACTGGAGAAGTTGTCTATAATCGAAGGCCTGTCAGCTCAGAGCCATCGCCATCTCATAGGCATGTTAATAAGAAGGACAAGGCCATTGCTGGCGCTTCATCTGCTAGCGTTCAGGACAGAAACTCCCTGCTTTCTGGGCGTTTGGGGTCCTATACTCGAGGGGGGGCCGTGGCCCTATACTTGCTGTTGTGGCCGTCAGAGCGCAGTGCTTTTGCATACATGTATGTGTGTGGTCAACGGCAAGCAGTCGCGAAGGGCGCACGCGGAAAACGTATTCATCCTAGACATTTTCAGTTAGGACAGCAAGTGGAGTGGAGAATGTTGCTGAGCGCATTGGACGGGGCATTCTCCAACCCTGCCATGCCTTTGGATTTCAAGTCCCCTGCCATAAAGGTAGCCTGTTGTTTTGGCCTTTGTGTTTGCGCTTTCCTTTCCCATTCCTTGTTTGAATTGCTGGCGCAGGCCTCTGATTCCTGCCTCGCACATTGCTCTGCCCCGGCAGAGTCCTGCTCCCAGCCCTGTGGCACGCGGCCAGGATGGGATGAGTGACGGCAGATTGCACGATGGAGGAGCTTCCTGCAGCCATTCTTGGACGGAAGTCCTTCCTCAGAAGTTGGCACAGTGGGACAAACCGTGAATCCATGAACGAGTGGCCCCCATTTGATTTGCGGGGACCTCGAGACCGACATGAGGTTGCGGTGATGCTGCGTTACAGTATGATAAAGCAAAGTGAGGCCTTGTACAACCTCTCCGAGCAATGCAGAGTGATATTGAGAGTTGGGAAAGGGAATTGGAGGCTTGGATGCTGAAGTCATACCTGGAAGAGCCGAAAACAAGGTACAAGTAGCACGCCAACCGAATGTTGAGCAGCACGGGGTTTCTGAGGATTTCATATTCAGTAGACTGTTTTCGGAAGGGGCAAAAACTCTGATATGAGTTGCTTGGACGTACTTGTTCTGGCCACCATGGATGCTCTGGTTGCTCTAGTAATCGAACGTACTGGTGACTTGGAATTGAACATCCGCGCCACCTTTTCTGCCCACTGCATCACACCACCCCACAGCACACCGTCAGCAAGCAACACCTGCAGAACATGAAAGTTTACAGAACCCCGAAGATGCGCACGCAGAGTAGTCGAGCCACCACAAAACAAAATCAATCCCGGTACTTGAATTGTAAAAGCTCTCAACTGCAAACCAAATCATGACCCTGAATCCTACACTGGTCAGAAATCTTACCGTGATTTGGGGCTCGAGTTGCGAACTGAACATCTTCGATGCAGACCCTGAATCACGGGTGATCCCAACTCCGCCTTGTTTTTCGGGCGGGCGGGTTGCAGTCGGGAAGAGATAGTTATCGCCAACTGACCGTGGGGTTACAGCATCATTCTAGCCTTCCGCTTCGTTCTCACCAACTTTCCCTGGTCATGACCATTGCAAATGTCTCGAGTTCACACGCCAGAACTGCTTTGCTGTACCTGCAGACTCCGCCCTCAGTTCTGCTGAAGATGGAAAATATTGTGTCCGACACTCCTTAAAGCAGCCACACTCATTGCTCAAAGCAGCCATGCCCATCGCTCAAATCAAGGGCAGCCAAAAGCCAAGGCATACGAGGTGCAGGAGGCAGCGCAGCAAGGTAACTCTGAGCCAGATGACGATCTCGGCTGTGGGGTGGCCAGGAATCTCCGCCTTCCGCAAATCGGGACCATGATGCGCGATCTTGGCTGCGTCGCAAACAGTACAGGAAAAAGTGCCTCTCGAGCTTGGGGCTCCCCAAGTGGCAGGTGTTCTCCTGCTTGTGGCAGCACACCTCAAGCTATTCCTCGATGGAATTATCATGAGGAAATCATTGCCAAACTGTGGGGTGCAATGCTCCAGGATTTCTGCAATTGGCGCATCCACGCCATTCCTGAACCTCAGATTGAGATTTGACAGGAACATTTCAGGACCCACACGTTGCGCTGTTTTCAACGCTGGAGGACTGCGACTGCAAAATGTCGCACCAAGAAGTCCCGACCGTTGAAAGAGCGCCCATGCTCGAACTGTTCAGACACGAATTGCGCAGCCATGGTGGTGCTACGCCACAAAAGAAAGCAGCTCGAGTGACTCCGAAGGAGAGGGGACGGGGGAAATTGGGGGTCAGGGTGGCGCTGCGGTCCATGCCGCTGCTGAATGGTCGTTGTACATTTTGAAACGGATTTGCAGGATGTGCAGGCGCGCCAGGGGCTAGGGCACAGTGAAACGCATGGGATGTGACTGAAGGGTGATCAACTGAAGGGCTAGAAGGCTCCGTGGACTCCAGGGAATTGTAAAGTGCCCAGGAGAATCCCGTCCAGTACTGTTTCAGTATTGTCCAGTACATTGAGGGGAGGTAGCGTGTTGTTAGCCCTTTAAACCTTGAACTCTAGAGCTTTAAAAATGAAATCTTTGTAGTCCCGAAAGCCAAGATGAAGGTCAGCCCCACACGGGGCAAGGGGCCGCAGCAGGCAGACTGGCAGGACCTGCGGACCGTAGCTGAAGGTTGGTAAGCAAGCCGACGGAGGTTCTGGAAGGTCCACGTTGCAATCGCAAAGGCCACTCTTCATCACTCTTCAGTCATCTTTAGGCTCTACACTGATATTTGTGAAGGCAAGATTTTCTCGCTGAGCGTGCATGGGATCTCTTCGTTTCCTCTTGAGCATAATTTCCTGACGGGATCCCAAAACATAGGGACTGGGACGTAAATATTAGCGAGTCAGATGCGACCAGCCCAAAAGAGGATCCGTCATGATGGAGGAATCCCAGGGGCGGACAGCCAAAAAATGGATTTGTTTGGAAATGAGCGAACCTTAGTTGGAAATGACTTGTTTCTGCAACTGCATTTGCAACACACAAGCGGACATTCATCGAAAATTCAAGCATTTTGCTGGTTCCCCGCCAGCGCCCTCCCCAGTCGTCCTTCAGTGTGAAACAGCCAGGGTGTTCTTGTGCTGACTTCGTTGAGGGACTGTCCTACAGAAGCCTTCAACATCTTGCACTGGTGTTCAAGGACTTTCTGAAAGAGGACGGATATTGAGCCAAGGGTCCCATTCGTAAATGGAGCCAGAGGATGAATTGTCCAGAAAATGGTCCCCGTTTCCTCTTCTTTAGTTGTCTGTGTGACACAGCCAGCTGCCTCTTGTCCTTCTGCCATGGTGGTGCCAGGATGTGCCAGGTGCGGATAGCAAACTCAAAAAATCTTTGGCTCGCATGTCAAGGCTGAGGCCCCATTCTGGCTTCCATCACAATCTACATCAATCCAGGCTTCCACGGCGTCCTTCTTTGTGATGGACCCGTGGGCCTTGTCCTGGCTCCGTTTGTGCTTTGATCACCCTGTTGCCTTTAAAACAAACTGAGAGCTGTGTTTGTTTCCCTTGGCCGTTAGCCCCTCCTTGTCGTAGACGCTTGGCGATGATGTCGTGCTGCTGAAGTTTTGTGAGCCTTGTGCAATCTTGGGCACCTGACGTTGCACTGTTGCAGCCTTTCGACTGAGGACTACATCCGTCATGTCAAGCAAAGCATGTGAAGCTGTTAGAGTCAGCGATTTCTCTGAAATTGAGCAATTTGCACTGAGGCGCTATCCATCTTATCAGCCGTGCTCCCAATTTGCTGATGTCCTGGTGCCTTTGTGGATTAGGAAGGTTCAATCTTGACTTGACCATACCACCTTCCAGGCTCTGCACAACTTACGACAGCCAAGTGCTGTACCATCTCATGAGCTTCGATATGCGGCCTGGGTCCTTAAACGCGAGGAGGGCAGGAATGCACGGCACGTGTCATAAAGGTCGATGTCTTACTCGCTGGGCAGCGATGCGATGCAGCCCGGTCCTTAAACTGAGGAGTCCCTCGAGAGCATGTTTCCACTGGTCCCTTTTGCAAGACCTGTGCTCACTCAGATTTCCGCCTTCTGGCCTCCAACGGAAACATATCTGTGGCTTGGTGGTTGCAGATTTCCTGATAACAGGCTTGATGCTTGCATGGCACTTGCTGCTGGATTTTGTTTCATGGGGGAGGGAGACATTGCAGGGACCTCTGCTGGAGACATGTGCGTCTTCAGCATGAAGACGAAGGCCTGCTTTGAAAAGGTCGCTGGCGGAAGTGCATAATATGACCTTCTGCTTCGCGAGGTTTTCCGCACAGCGCTGCCTGTATGCAACAACGGCATCGTTCCCAGGGCCTCTCTTAGATAAAGAGGCCGAGCTTGTTGAACACGGAAGTCCTCTGCTTAGAATCGTGTAGATGCCTGAGCCAAGGTGTGACAGGCATTGCTCAGATCTTTGGCGGCAGTTGAGTGCATATCATGAGTGCCGCTCCTTCATGAACGTTCCATGCAAGGTATGGGGACCTCCTCTTCGTGGTGCAGTGCTGAGATGACCCATCAGTCTTACACACAGCACAGGTGGATGTGTGGACAGGCTGGGGGTGATGGCAGAATAAAAGCCGTGCGTGGCCATGACACGGAGTGGGACGTCAACAGCTTAGCCTGATGGTGGAGCCGGAAGACTGACTGAATTGAGGGAACTAGGGTGTAGCAATGAGTCGGACTGAAAAATAGGGGCTTGGGACGGTCCCCACGCTGAGGTCCTTGCAGAAAATGTTCTGGAAGCTGGAGTGATGGCCATGGCCTTTAGCTGAGGGCAGCCGCGTTGCTTGATGTGTGTCATGTCCAGGCTCTGACGCCTTCTGCGGATGGTGCTGAGTTAATTGCTGGCACAAGGACACGTCATGGCGCTGAATATGGATGTGTTGTGAGCCGATGTTGTAGGAACGGCAAGATGTGGAGATTGCTGTCCTCAGACCTCACGGCGACATTACAAAGTGCCTCCCATACCGGCGAGGCATGCAGCATGTCTTGCTGATACTGCTGATGCCGGCATGCGCTACTCTACAGCAAGCAGTGGGTGTAAACAGATGTAAAGAGCAAGCTTCGCCAGCGCCATCTCTCTGATTGAAGACGTGCTTCCTCGAGCCCTTCCTTTTACCAGCATCAGTTCTTGGCCTGAGTCGGGACCAACAGCACTTCTCTAGTCTAGACGAGGCAGGTGGCGAGCAGAAAGAAAAGTCCTTCCGTAACACGGCTACCTGTAGACAAGAGCTGCAAAAGTCAAGGGAAGTGTCTCCAATACGACGGACTTGCTGCACAGCAACAGCACCCTGCTCCCACAACATTTGGCTTTGCCAAGCTCATTTCTAAATCAACCCCACATCATCTTGTGGTCTTGAGCCACAAAGTTGCAAGCATGCCAGCCTAGCGCAGACAATCTGGTCTCAAAGCAAACCATGTCCACCTATTCACTGAGATGAGATGACAGAACCTACTCCCTCAATCAAGCCTTTGATTAAAAACTGGACTGGCTATGCAACTAAGAGGGCTGAAATCTCTAACTGGAAGCACGAAGTGAGGCCCCGCACATTCGGACAGCGAACCAAACTACGCACTAAACGAAGCCGCGAAGAACAGAAAGCCGGCTTTTGGCCGGTGCTAGAGGCTCGCGAAAAGGTGCCGTTACCGCCCTGACCAAGCCCTGGAGATGCCAAAGGCATGTCAGGGGCTCAGCTAGTCAGCCAGTCGAGAAGATGGTCATCATGGTCATAGCATAGATGACACGGATGTGCATTTGGTGCCTCGCAGCGCGGGCATGGGCAACTCCTGCTCTGAGATAAGAGTCCTCGGGGGTGCTTTCAGTTCTCACAAGCGCGGGAAAGCGGAAAATCGTGGGAATCGGTCCGCAAACTCCTGGAGCCGGCATTGCTTGCTGGTACAAATTAGTACAAAGAGGCCCATGTCCCTTAAGCAACTTGGAGGGATAAGGGTTGCACAAGCCAAAATTGAACACTGGAGCTGCAACTCAATATTTTCTGGCATGTGAAGGCTCGCAGGCCGTACTTTTTAGAGGCAGAGAGCTCCGGGTTGTCAAGCCCTTTATTTCAGGACGTGGTTCAGAGCTTTGAGGGGCAGTCAAAGTATAACTCTACGCGCATGGCCTGGGGGCATGTTTGCCAACCCATGACCATGAGTGGCGTCTGCTCGCTTTGCCCCTCCCCTCCCCTTCCCCCTTTCTCACTCCCTCCTTCCTGGCCAAAGCACACCTGTTCGAACCTGTCCAATTTGGGCACTTGCTTGCTCCAATCACGAGCTCTGACAGAAACTAGCTGCGCAGCGAGTGACGAACAACAAATTGCTACCTGAACAGTCGGCCCTTCTGGGAGCCAAAGCAGGACCCTACACAGCCAAGTTATATGGGCGGCCCCTTTGGGTGCTGAAGCTCGGAGACGCAGTTGCAATCCAAGCAGTGCATGATCAGCAGGCCCAGGAGATTTAGTGTCTGTTGTTGCGCTATGACGTGCGTCCCAACGGCTTTGCCGACACATGCGCAGGTGGGAATGGTTGGTGGCTAGGTGCTAGTGGAAATTCAGACCCTCCAGCGCCAAGCACACCAATTTTCGCTTCCCCCTATTGGCATACATCCAGCTAAAGTCCTAGGCCTCAACGTGATTGTCATCATCATCATCAGCATCATCAGCGTGGTCAGGTCATCATCTTCATCTGAGTCTTCATTGTTATCCGCATCTGCACCTGGTCCTCCTTCTCCATTTTGCTCATTGCCGCTAAATGCACAAAATTTCGCCCGCCATCTTTTGTCGGAATAACGTGTCATCGATTGGGGCGTCTGATCTTTTTTAATCTCAGCCCTGTTGAAACATCCCTCTTTTTTGTCCTCTCATCGCTCGCGCCCCTACCAATCCTGTCCAGTGTCATCTTGTTCTCCATCCATCATCCAGATCGCTGTAAGACAGCTGCACCGATCCTATTTAGTAATGACAGAAGTCCGCGGTAGTCATTTCCCTGAAGTTTCATGCATTTTCATAGCTTGAGGAGGTGTTTGACATGCTTTGAGTTTAGTCTTGATAAGGCGGGGCCGCATGGAACACAGCTTTTCCGGCCACCTTCGAGAACAGCATGGAACATTTAGACACGATCCCATATATATATATACATACACACTCAGATCCCCAAATGCTGCTGACGCATCACGGCAAGTTATGTTTGTTTCAGAAAGGACAGATTATCGATTGCTGCTCAGATGTTCATGAGCTTCCTCCAAGATTGTGCTGGCAAATCCGTGTTTCATTTTCACGTTGGTAGGTGACGGACATCGCGTTCGGCACCAGCAGCGACATGGTGTGCACCACATCTGACGCTGGTGAGGCAAGGCCTGGCTGTTCAAAGGCAAAAGGTGGCCTACATACACCTCTGGCTGCCAGACTGCCAGATACTGTCAGGTGTTTCTTCTGGACCTCTCAGATTACATGCCTCTCACCGCGGCCCTTGCAAAGTCACCAGTTCGAAGTGCAGTTGTGCCTTAGTTTTCACAAGCCAAGTAGGGTATTCCTACGAGGGGGAAGTTCCATTCATTGCTGTGAGGTAGTTGCCAGCAATGGGGAGATTCTGGCTGGCTATGCCGCCTGGCCGCAGCAAACCTTTGTGCCTGAGCTAGAGAATCATCTTCCGGTACATGCACTAGTCACTAGTGCAGCAGACCTTGATAAGGACGATGGTTATTTGCGTGCGTGGTCCTCTGACAAGGGCGGCAGCAAGCTTCTGTGGCAGGTGAACTGTCATAGGCCAGTGGCCAGTGACAGCATGCCCGTGCTGCCTTGAATGGAACGCGGCATTCGCAGGCAAGGAGTGACAGTGGTACGGGAAACAGCCAACTTCATCGTAACTGGGGGTGGAGACAGCGCCGTGCGCAGGACTCCTACTTTGAATGCTCGGCTGGTTAAAGCAGAAACTGTCACTAAAGCTGCTCTGAGGTTTCTGGCAACGGAGCTCCAGAGAACTCCTGTCGTCAGCGGCCTTGCATCTTGCAGCGCCCAGAACTGAAATGATTGGTTCCAGGTCTTTCCAAAACCATCGCAAGCCAGTGGCAGATCTCGTTCTGGACCAGGCTCCACTCAGCTCTGCAATCTTGATGTCAGAGTTTCTTTACATTCAATCTTTACGGATTGTTGTTTGTTCATCAGCGATGCCGCGGGTCAATGTGGCCTCAGCACAACTCGAAGGTGAGTCCGCATGTCGTTCACTCGGGAAGCGAGGACAAGCTGGTTGTGACCTATGCGTATGCCCGAGGTTGAAGTTGAGGTACTGCTCTCAAAGGATTCTGTTTCATCTGCGCCACCACAAACCAAGGATCTCAAGCAGAACAAGGCTCTTGTGCAGCACACCTCGTCGCTAGACGGCGTTAGGCCAAAGAGCTTGATTTTCCAAAGACACAAAGGTGTGGCCAATCGATCCTGCACGGCCAAGGTTAGCTGGGAACATCACCAGTCTTTCTCAGCGGAAAGACCATGACAATGAGGCTCAAAGCGTATGCATGGCGGCCGAAGGATGTAAGCTGAAAGGCAGTAGGAATAGAAGTGCAGCCTGTGCAGCCAGGTAGTCAGTTGTGCACAAGATGGCAAGCTGCTGTTCTGGGATGTGGACTATCCTGATCCAACAGGCTGGCCCAAGCCGGTGTGATAGGTGAAGCCACTGTGAAGCGCCCTGCGTCAAGGTAGGTAGGGCCGAACCGTTTGGGGGTACGATTTGAGATACTGGAGTTCACAGTGCTGGGACATCTGCATAGCATGCACAACATAAGGCGCGTCAGTTGCGCGTCATGCTTGGGGCGCACCATGCTTTTCTTGAAACGTTTGCAGACACCACTTTGCAAATCTGCTTCTTTGACAGGTTGCATTGACAGCCCGACTGGAATGCCCATTCGACTGTTTGCGTCCCAGCATTGCAGCATTGCAGAGAGAGTTCCTTCCGCAACAGGGATGTTCACAGTGTCATGCTGTCAGGCTAGGGCAGGCATGGTGCAGCAAAAATAAACATGCAGAGAGCCGCACAAATCATTTCTCGGCTCAGGCCGGAGGAATGTTTGTCAGGTCCTAGATTCCATTCCTTTTCTTCCCCTTGTGATGGCTTTCATTCTGCAGCGTGATGCAGTCCCTTCATGATTGGTTGGAGAGAGAGGGGCTCCAAGATTTGGTGGAGTGGTCGCAGACTGAATGCCTTGAAACTGTAGACGATTTAGCGTACTTCTTCACAGACGCGGCGCCGCCTGATTCCCATGTACTGGCACATGCTTGGCGATTAGCAAAGATCGAGCGATCCAGTGGTTACATGGAAGCACGAGAATTGCAATGCAAGTGCGCAAACAAATCAAGTGGCAAGCGGCGCAACTGTTCCTTGTCGTTGCGAGTGAATCAGCAGCTTCGAGCCCGCAGAAGCAAACCACTTACAGCTTACAACTAAAACTGATTTGCTGACGCGGCAGAAAGCAGCTCAAGCTGCAATCAAAGTCGCTTTGTCTTGGGGGTCGGCATTCGGCATCCATGTGGGGGTTCCGGATGCAACGGCGTGTGAGTGCTTGGACGGCTCGCCTTCTGCGCTTCGAAGCGAGAACTGTCAAAGATGCGCTGGCGGAGTGGGCAAAGCTTTGGTCTCACGTGCAGAAAGTGGAGCCAGCGTCCAGTGTGGGCTCCGGGCCGGCCGTGGCGATTGGCGCTGTGTTGGTGGTATGCTAGGGCCTACGGTTGCTGGCGTGCTGTGTGAGCGACTGGCGAGCTCACATCAAACAACAGTTGCAAACTGCCTCCCTGACTTGTTGGTCTGCTTGCATGTTCATGTTTGGTAGACGTTGCAACATTTACTGGAATGGCACCACAAATCAACACAACAAGTCAGAAAACAGCAGCAAGCATATTCACCAACCTCATCGTAGCAAGCTGCAGCCACAGCGAGTCATGATGGTCATGCGAACAACAACACCAGCGGCACCAGCAGCAGCAGCAATGATTGTAACCATCATGAGAATGTCAAGAAAGAAGATCATGACGAGGCTCCTGACAACAATTAGATCGATGAGCGTCATGCGAAGAATCAAATGTGGATAATCTTGATGCGAACAGTGCCAACAGTGGTCGTCAGGATAGGTCTGCCGTGACTGTTTCACGTTAAATTGCACATGCTAAAGCAGCAATCATGATCTTCTGCCACTGGTCTCTCCCTCCCTTCTTCCCCGGTCTTCTACTTTACCCTTTATTACCTCCTGGTGCACCTCAGCTAGCAGCATTAGCAGCTAGCCGAAACCTTGCAAGGAGCATAAGCATGCATGACAACGAGGTTCCAGCTGAGAATGCCCAGCCAAGCTGCGTACATCCAGCAAAGCCAAAGCCCTCAAAACCTCAAAGCCCCAAAGCCACTACAAATCACAATTCAAGTAATGTGCTCCCAAGCATACGAAGAACCATAGCACAGATTTGGTGATGCACTTGGCAATTTGCACTTAGCAACTTGGCCAAGACAAAGCCCCTCAAACGCAGGCACATTTGAGGTGCAGTATGACATTTTTTCTTTTCAAAAGTTTTGCTGAGGGGATTGGTGAAGGAAGTTTGTGTACAGGGTTTGCCCAAATGTTTTCATGCAGTCCACGAATATTTCGCTATGTTCTGAACATGTGTAGTCAAGTTAAGCATTGTATTGGCTTGTTCAAGAGAATATCAGGGAGCAAGACACCCTGCTTTTCTTTATTGTTGTTTTGACGGGTCAGTCATTCAGTACAGCTTCGGAGAAGCATTGAATGTTGACGGGTCTACCGCCGGATGCCTTGCCCGACTTCCGGATTTGACCCGCGACAGAAAACTCCCATCTAAGTCCCAAGCAGCACCTGCTTAGAAAAGCTATCGAAGACCGAGCCCGGGAATTGTTGACAAAGACCAGACAAAAGGACACTGTGATACGCGCCGGCAGCACAGCGCAGACTCAGGAGATTGAATTGCAAGAGGTCAACAGATCGACAGCTTCGCCCTACCCGAACCTGGCGCTAAAGCAAGCCAAGACCTTCAAAGAAATTAGCCTTCAGAGACCAGCCTTCAGAGCCTGCACACTATGGGACGTTGTAAGCATCATCGCAGCTCAGCAATGAGCCACAATGCTGAGGGGTTCATATTGCCGATTCTTAGTTTGCCTCCACACGCTCGTCGATGGAGCTGCCACTTCTTAATCCTCACCAAAGGAAAGCAAGCGTGTCCTAAACGATATCCAGTTTGCTGAAGCTTTGTCATCACAGAACAGCACCGGTCAACTCGCATGTCAGCTGAATGTACATTCTCCTAGCAACAGCGTAATATATGAGTTGAAAGGGGTTTTAGAACTTTAAACATCTTGTATTATGGAAGAAAACCCGAAGTTTGGATTTACTTCCATGGTGCAATTATAAGGTTACGATCCTTATCGTTTTCCTGATGCTACTTTTGCAATTTTACTTGGCTTTGGCAAATCTACGCAGAAGGTCATTTTTCTGCAGAACCATGTTGACAGGTAGTATGTTTCTTCAGCTTTGTTTGTTGGCCGCCAATCATCTTGCGATGTGCTCCGGCAAAGATGACACTGAACCTTTTCATTACTCTTGCATGTGTGTCATACTCGAGGTTAATCTTCAAAGTTTTCTCAACATCTAAGAGCCTCCATTAGCACAGCGGAGACTGACTCCAATTTTCCATTACGTCCATGAGCAAACCAAAAGGTGAAGGGTTTCAACCCAGGAGCAGGAAGCTCCTGAACTTCTCCCCTCCCTCGCTCCTTCCTGCCCTTGCATGAGGCCTCAGGGCTTCTGAATCAGCTAAAGATGATCATTGTAGTACTCTTTCGCGTCCTCGCTCCTGCTCCTCCCCTCCAACCTGCAGAGGGAAAATCCGTACCCCATATCTTCGACATTCTTTTTGGGGCCTCTCTACCACCTGGTATTTGTGGCCTATGAGGCTGTAAGCAAACGCAAGACTAATGAACGAATCACTGGGAATGCACGCAACCAACTGTCTGAATTATCAGATTTCATATCCTCAGAACTCATATCCATAACGCAGAATTATTTAGAGATCCTGTGCTTCGCATTCTAAAGCAGTCGAATTTTCCTCAGCGCCACAACGTTGATTTTCAGCCTGAGAAAACGGATATATGCCATAAGACCTAAGTCAGACATCATGATCCTAATTGTAAGATGGATCCTCCGTCACTTCTGCAGAAGGAAATTTGCAGGCAAAACCTCCGAGCAGATACAGGTCGTGTTCCATGCGTTTTCAGAGACTCTGAACAGCATCCTTTGCAGCTGCGCCGTAAAAGGGGATGTGCAAGAGCCCTCTCTGTCCCGTAGTTATGTCTCTCTCTCTCTCTCTCTCTCTCGTATGGTCATAAGCTGTCATAAGTACAAGTTGGTAACAGTCCTGAATGTCAGTTGCGAGGTCTGCTCTGGCCGCCAGAAGTGTTGTGATGATCCCTTTTCCTAGCTGAGACTCGTTTGAGGTAAGATGGCCTCACGCAGGGATGTTTGGAAGGAGAATTCATGAGCACCAGCCATGTGTTAAAATCCAGCCTTTTCGCCTGGCAGTGCAAACCTGGATGATTTAGTTAGAGACATTTGTTGACCCGCGGCATAGGGAAACTCCAGGGAGCAGAAACAGTGACACAGGGAAACTTCAATAACGACATGGTTCAAACTACCTCTCTTCGCATGGTAATTCAGAACAGGGTGACTCAAGTGGAAACATGTGTGAAACCCTCCCCCTCACCTCGCAATGGCGGCGGTGGTGGCGGCGGCAGCAGTGGTGGTGGCGCGGCGGGCCCTTGCCGTGGAAGGTTTACTGATGTTTACCATTAATTTGCTTGCAAAACGGGGCTCACAGGTTCCCGATCCATGATTCCTCCTGGTTCCCCATTGTCCCGGGAGTGTTGCCGAAGCACCCACGGTTCATGGTACCAACGATTCATGTGCCGATGAAAATGAACCCTTCAGGCCTATTGTAGGGCTGCTCTGCAAGCTGGTCTCATTGCCTGTGCTTTCCGCCAAGCCAGAACGCTGGTAGCAGCACTACACTCAGTACATTCAGCCTGATGATGAGGCGCTGTTGTGAAGTGTCACCGAACGGTCGTTACATCGCAGCGGGTTGTGACGATGCCAGGACCGGTGCATGAAAATATAATAACAGAGAAACTACAGCAACGCGGCAATCAAGCATAGGACCTTTGATACCTCTGCCGTTTGTGAAGCCTACCGCCGAACGTGAGGATGTACATTTACGACCTGGTGTCATGCCAGTGCATACAAGAGTGTGAAGGGCACTCAGGCCGGAAGTTTTTTGCAATTGAAGTCTCACGGCTTCATTGGGTAGCAGACCTGCGCTTGCCCAGGTGGGCTGTCACAGGTCCGCTGGAGTCCAGATCAGAAACAGATTATTACAGCTGGGAAGGACCGTCTCTGCAGGTTTTTGTATACCTTCAAGCCGAGCCGTGCCTCTCTAGACTCAAGAATGGGTTGCGGTACAGCAGCAGAAGAGAAACGAAGCCACTATTGCTGATCATTGCTATGAACTTCCCTTGTGTAAGAGGAGCTGAGACTTCCTAGTATACTAGCCAGGGATACGCTTGGCTGACTCTCATGCAGGATGGTTGCATCATTGTGTGGAATTTCTTTGAGTTGTGAGTGACAAGGTGTACAGGAATTCAACGCGGCTTGTGCAATGCTTTTGCGAAGCTCAGTGAAAGCTGCAGGCTGCACTGATAATGTCTAGCCAGACAGCCAACGTGTTGTTGCAGTCGTAAGTGATTGCGCGGCGCATCTCACACCGTATCACCAGATCTCAGGCTACGCAATCGAAGAGAGGTGTGTGGCGGAGAAAAGGCTCAGTGCAAGATCCAGTCGGCAAGCCGAGTACTGCAGTAGCATGGCCTTGGCCCGAGGGCACAACACACGGCACAAGAAGCAGCACAAGTTTCGACGTTGTCGACTACAGTGGCTGAAGGCTCTGTCAGCAGTCTAGCAGACGAATCAGTGAAGCGAAGCTCGGACACTCCCTTCCTGACCTGATTTTGCTGCTTCTTGCCATGAGCACAGCTTGACATACAGTTTGTAGCTCTTTGAAAGTAGCAGTGAAGGCAGGGCTGACCGGCGGGAAATAGTGCCATGCCATGTTCGCTGAACTGCAATGTGAACGTACTGCAGCCTCGTCAACATCACTTGCATCAGGTTGGATTGTCAGGTTCTTGCAGTTGAACATCAAAGAATCACCCGCAGATCAGGGAGCACTTTGCTCTACTGTGTGGTGTCCGGTGATTTTGCGGGTCGCCTCATCGGCAAGAGGGGCGCCAATGTCCAGGACCAACTGTAGCAGCTCCAGTCATGCAAGGGACGCTTTCTTTCTGCGGAGGAGTTGCAAGCCCGCGCATGACTCGGGCGGCAGCAAGCGGTGCTTACCCGTGTTGAGATGTTGGTAAGGCACTGGTGCGCGACTTCAGCTTTCGGAGTTGGGAATTGATGAAACGCTTGTGGAGGCTTGTCCTTGAACAAGACACGTGGTCAACTTTTTGTGATGGTATTGAAAACAGCAGCGCTCAGGTGAGTGGAACTTGCCAGTGTGCTGGGCACATGGCATTGCAATGTCTCCTTGCTCTCATCAGTGCCCGGAGTTCGAACTGCAGCTCGTTAGGTGGATGATGCCTGCTCACTGCTACTGGATGATCTAGCCCGCATGCAGAAGCCACCTGGAATGCATTCTCGAGATTTCTTGGGTAGATTGCAGAGTCTTGCAAGCTTGGTGATTTCCAAGGCTGCGCGTTTCTGGAAATCCTGGCTCGTTTGTACGCCTCTTCGCATCACAAGGGCTTGGTGAAATGTAAAACACCCGTTGTAGAAATGTTAGCAAGGACGGCCCTAGTTTGCAGCTTCACTGTAAAACGATAAGGCATAAGATAGTACGATAAGGTTTTATACTTGCAGGATTAGCATATGAATTTAGCAGCATCCACGGTAAAACGTAAGGAATCAACAACAAACACGATACGATTTTAACTGGATATTGGGGTCCGTGATAGGGTTTCCACCCAAGCCTAAGTATGTCAAGTCTCAGAAGAGGTGTCGCAGTGTCGCATTCCATGCGCGTCAGGATGACGCGCTCAGCATTCAGCATCTCCTGCGATGTGATTTGTTGGACAGTAAGCGCTGTCAGGTTCAAGAATTGGCATTGCATCTGCAGCAGTAGAGCTTGCGGTGCTGATACCGGAGGCCTTGGTCCTCTTATCATGGGGGAAATGGTTTGGCTACGGCTTGATTTCAATGGTTTGCTTAAGGCAATTCAAGGCAATTCGGTTTTGTGTAGTAATTTCGGTTGATTCATGGTGCCGGCGGGCGCATAATCATCCATAATAGTGACTGCAATCATCGTCGTCATCATCACCATCATCAGCAGCAGCACAATACTCATCACGGTAATTGCCATCATCAGCCGCTGCTTGTGTTCGCCAAAGATCCTGAAGACCAAAGTGAGGCAGAAATAGCACACCAGCAAGCCGACTTTTCCACTCCTCCGAGGTGCAAGGCCACAAACGCAAATGGCTTGGAGAATCTAGGGAGCCAGCACGGGACTAGCACGGCCACTCCCCAGTCGCCCTGGGTGAACCTAGTGGGCCCAGTGCGTTACACTTGCATCACCAGAGCACCAGACTTGGTTTGCAGATTCTACGTCTTTTTCGTCACCTGCCCGCAGATCCGTGCGGCAGATTTCATGACCACAATCACCAATTAATGGAACACTTCCTCCAGCCGTCCCATCTGCGGATTTGAGGGATTAGGTCTTCAAGCCTAGGTGGTCGCCTGCACTGCATCCTTTGCAGATTTCTTGCTGCGAGATGCTGTAAAAGGGTCTGGCACCCAACCCAACTGCGTGGGAAGGTCTTTGGGGCCGCGCGCAAGGCTTTGTTGGGTCTATGTTTTTGCCAAAGTGCCTATGCGGTTGGGTCCTGCTTTAGCAAGGGGTGGTCGTGAGGCGTCCACGATGCTGTGCGGGCGGTCGCGGGTGGCGAGGTCGCAGATGCGCGGAGGGTGGCAGTGCAATTGTGAGGGAGGGTGGTCGCGAGGACGGGGTGCGGCGTGTGCGGTCAGGGTGGGACGGGGCGCGGCAGTCAGAGTGCGGCGTGGGTGGTGAGGGAAGGTGGTCGTCAGCGGTTCGACAGGTGGTCAGGTTGTGAGGAGAGGGAGAGCACGGTCAGGACGGGGTGCGGTGAGGTGGTTGGGGAGGGAGGTCGTTAGAATGGGTGTGGTGAGGGCGGCTGCGAGAGTGTCGTGGTGTTCACGAGGGCGGAACCATCTCCTTGGCTCGGGTCCATGTCTTGTGTGGAATCATGCAGATGCCTTATTTGGTCTACAGGCGCTTAAACTTTTGGAAGCGCTTGCAAGGTTAGGTTTCTATTGGGCAGTTCTCTTGCGGAAGGGTTTTAGGGGTTTTAGGTTGACCTTGCTTTTTGATCGATTTCCCATACCGATGGTCCCCCTGGAAAGTCATAATTCCCAGCTGGACGCGGTTCATATTTTCAGAATACATCCTTCGATGCCTTGCGGGCGGCTGCTGTGCTTCATGCAGGAGCTTTCGTGGTGGGTGGAACAACTTCAGAAAGAGCTGAACACGCATGAGACTCCAGAGGCCTCAGCTGCGAATTCGGCAGCCAGAAGCCTTGACTGAGAGCCTCGAAGGCTTCTGGGCTAGCCCTAGTAGAAGCAGCAGAAGAGGCAACGGGATGCAAAAGCCATGACTGGAGGTTTCTCAATATGGCATGCCATGGCATTCCCGTATGCCTGGATAGATGTGTATAGGATGTGGCTGGCGAGACATTGCCCACCCAAACTCATGCAGTGGACGCAGTGCTGACGGGCTTTGCTGAGGCCGCGGCGCACACTTTCAAGTTGTTGTGCCAAATTGTCGTCCTGCAGGTTGGCGGACTTCGATTTCGGAGACTTCTGCTTTCAGGACATCCCCGTCGAGTGGCTTCAGCCGGGACACAGAGTTCATGATTTTTCGGATCATTTCGTCTCATTTTGGATGCTTGGCTTAGCTGCTTGAGTTTCAGAAGGTGAGAGACTGATTGGTTTGCTTTCATTTGGCAGGTAAGCAACATGCCTCAGCACGTTCAGCCCATCAGACGTCATTTGAGATTTCAACCCTGCCTTACTCCATTTTCGTATATTTTCGTGCCACACACACGACTTTCTGCATTCCTGCAGAGATTAAGGTCTCTCTCTGTTCAGTTAGATAACGCTACATCAGATACAGCCGACTCGGCTGTTTGGAAAAGCCGAGCATGATGCAAATTCAACTACTGGCACCGAGAAGTTGATGTCCCCAGTTGTGGCCACCTGCAGTGCACTCTACTTGCCCTTGCCCTATGAGGCCCTGCATGCGGTCAGGAGGAGGCTTGCCGTGCTTTGGGGAGCTTTTTGTGTGTTGAGTGTTGTGCTGCGTTTGACTGTGTGTGTATTTGGGTGTTTTCAGAGTCTTCAGCTTCCTTTTTTTTTGAGGCTCCGGCGTCACTCCCGGTGGGCCAAGGCAGGGCTCAGAGAGCCGCCCGCGATCAGGCTTCGAAGCTTCGAAGCTCTTCGTACCGTTGGGCCGTTGGGTGACGTTATGTGCCGTTCTCCCGCGAGATGCACCCTGAAGGCTGTCACCGCAAGAGTCGGACCCGGAGGAAATTCACTTGCAGAAGGCGAAGATCTGAACATGCCAGCACTCCGCAGGACAACTTTGTGTCCACTGAGAACTTCGTGCTCGGGGTCCCGGCAGGAGCTGGACTGGATGCGGAGTTTTAGCTTCTGGTCTGGGAGTGCTCACAATCACTTGCATCACTTGCCACCGCTGGAATCAGATGCGTGAGCTTCGCGGAATTAGATGGCACTCCATTCATTGTAAAAGCCGGTGGTTAGTCCAAGTTCATGGTATCCAGTTTACCTATTTGAGACAAGCGTCAAGGACCTGGAGCTCTCACAGAGGGTGCCATCAAAGACTTGCTTGGCCAAATCCAAGAGGACTCCAGTCCAGCCAGTGAAAGCAAGACCTTGCTGATGGTCCTTGCACAGTCACTCCAAGGATTCAGGTGCTACAGCGCGGGCACCATACTCAATAGATCATGTGGCTTCACGAAATGTTTCTGATTTCGTTTTCTTTTTGAGGTTCGCACTGTCACGACTCAAGCTGAGCTCAAGTGTCCAGACTGCCCTTGCCCCAAGAAGATGCCTTCTCCACATATTGGGTCATCTACAAGCTGTGGTCGGTAAGTCTTTGGCATTGTTCCTGCTGTGAGGTGTGGAGATTGCTGGATGCTATTCTTCCAAACTGATGGCATTGGTGGAAGTCTCGGCACTCCTGATCCAGCTGCCGTCTTCTTAGTTCTTAGTTCTACGAGGATTTGTCCAGGTTGGAACTTCAGTGTAGTTGCAGCAGTGGGGCCGTGGCCAAATCAGGTCCAGCTCAGAGGGCGAAGGCCTGCTGCAGGTCCCTTCCCCAGGTGGCTTCAAACATTGCAGCTCTCAATTAGCTCCGGAAAATGTTAGGTTTGGCTCCGTTCTGATGGTCCTTGTGCTCTAACGCTGGATGACATTCACAATTCGGCGACTTCCGCTAAGTTTGCAAGACAGGTGCCTTGTTTCCTTTTTTTCTGCGTTGCTGGAAAGCACTAAGGTCTGGCAGCGGCATTCGTGCTGTCGTAGGAGCTTCGTGCCCAGTTGATGTGTACATTCGGCAGAGTTGAAAGCAAGTCCACCTGGTTTTGCATTTTTGGTGCTTCAACAAACTGGAGGAGGGCGGCCCGGCCCTGCGGCAAACTACACGAAGGTACAGCTTCATGGACAGCTGGTTCTGCTGGCATCACTTTGCAGTCATTTGTGGTCATGCGCCTGAAGCAAGTATCTCAAATCTCTACTGGAGAATCCCGCTTCCCGTTACCTCTGTAAACTGGGGGACGTTTCAGTTGGAGCCCTGACCCACTGTTCTCAGATCTGATCTTACGTCATCACTTTCCTTGTACTTTGCTGATGTCGTGCCAAGCAATCAAGCACCATCCCTCAACAGATTAGAGCATGCGCATGAAGATTTGCGCTGTGGTGTCAATGGCAGGTTCCTCTCTGCACAGTTGCCTGCATACTGGGAAAACAAAGTGAGCGGAAGGCTGTTGGGACGGACGCATGATCTTAAATGACCTGACTTGCTTCGTTCACCTGCTGTGCAACTGAAGTTTGTGACAGGCGTGGGCTTACGCACGTAAACATGGACAGCCCTTGCCTTGCAAGATCAGATGCGTGGGGAATCAAGCTGTGGGCCTCTCTAAGCATGATGCAAACGCATGCTTCGATCATGAGGCCGAGCTTGTTGATCGACTACCTTTCCAGGCAATTGCTTTCAGTCCTGCATCTTTTCACTGCTCGATGCACATGCAGGATGCGAAAAACGGAGATCCTCCACCCATGTCCTATCCTGCGACTGGAATCAGTCATAGTAAGTTCATAAGTCAACTTGTCCGTGGATGGTGGTGTTTTGGAGGTGATATGGTCTAATTAGGCAGACGAGCTGACTAGCTGACTGGCTGTGAGCCTACTTTGCGACTATTGCCGGTTGACAGGGCCGTGCTGAAGATAATTTTCAAGCCACAGTGACCGGACTCAAGCCGTAGCAAGGAAAAAAACAGGATCTAAGCGCACCAACCTTTTTCACAGACATCTGATAGTGAAGGCCAATTCAATCCTTTGCGAAAAGCTAAAGCGGATTGGCACAAGCCTTGCAGAAAACGATTTGGATTCCATGTTTGCCGTGAGAGGAAGAAGGTCTGAATGTGAGAGGGAAGCTCTGACTGTTTGGTACGTTTGTCAAAGATGGGTTCCAACAGTCCCCGCTCTCAGACCAGTAGTGGCCAGAGGTGGTGCCTCATACAGAGCCATTTGAGCCTCATGTTCACTTTTCTGTGCTTCTAATTCCAGACTTTGTTAGGAGACGATTTTTGTCACGGGGATTGTCCGAGTCTCTTGGCGTAAGGAATTGGGTGCAGCGCTGCACGGATAATTGACCGCGCCGACGTTGGGTCCTGGAAATTAGGATTTGCGAATTGTGACGTTCGCGTCACGCCAATAACGACTTGTGCTCCTGTCCTTCGGTTTGGCTTGGTTGATGGTTGTAGTTCTGGCAGTACAACAATGAAGTCAGATTCCTGCATGCGATTTGCTGTAGGTGCTGCAAAATACACGTGCGCAACCATCGGGACACAGACCATCAAACAAGGCCACGAAAAATACCTTTACATCATCTCACCCCAGACATTTTTTGTGCGAAAGCTCGCTCGTCAGAATGCGCAAGTGCTGACTAACATGATGCAAGCTTGAACAGCCATGATGCATCAGGCTTTCTCCAGGTTTTCTGGCGGATCATATCAGGTCATTCTAATTTGCTTATGCATCTTATGCCCAACGCATACCCATGCCAGCTCTCATGCCGGTTCCGTCGGGTACAAGCACAGGCTGATAGCATGCAAGGGGTGGATGCTTGGTTGTGAAGAGCGATGCAAATCGCAACTGCTAGAGCTTGAGCCCATGTTGAGGTGGTTTGGCAAAGATGCTGGCCGCATGCTGCGAGACCGTCAGCATGCCGAAGCATTGGGAGGAGCTTGCCCATGCCCTATCTTTGCTGAGGGCAGTCGAAATCAAATGGCCCATCGCTGTCACAGGTCACCAAGCTGACCACCGCGAAGAAAGTGCAAAGAGGCTGGAAGTGAGCACCCTCTACGAGACAGCACTGACCGCACAAAGTCCGCACAAGGCGCAAGACGACCGCCGAAAGCTCACTTCCAGTTCTGGTGTGGAGACACAGCAAATCCTGAAAAAAACAGTCTTCCAGCGTGCTCGTGTGAATAGAAAGCACATGTGCAGGGACCGCACCTTCCTGATTTCCAGGCGCGAGTGGTTTGTTGCGCAGTTGTGGCATGCCATGGCGCAGTATGTCAAACATGATGCCGGCCTGCATCAGGTTGTCGAAGTGCAGGAGCTGACACCGTTCAGCATGTTGTAAGTCAGAGCTTCAAAACTTTGCGCAGGAGATGGTGAACGAGGAGGGGGAGGACGAGGAGGAAGATGATGTGGTCACGTTGCCTTCAGCAACGCACTCAGCGACTCCATGGCTCTCAAAACGGGTCGAAACGTCTCGCATCACGCTTGAATATGCCGGGCTTCCACCTCAGAGTGTTATAAGATTTCTCCGTATTGCGGTATAGGGCATGGGCAGGGCATAGGGGGGGGCTGAGTGAAGACGTGTGTAATGTCGATGGTGAGAACCAGCCTGTTGCATGCCTGTTGGACGTTTGGAAGAGATCAACCTGAGGAAAGTTCTTTCAGCTCAAGCAGTCAGCGACAAGCAAAAGCTCCTGTGGAGCATACCAATGCGCGCTCACCAAAGTTCGTTCCTGCACCAAGATGTATTTGGCGTTTCTTACACTATACTGAAGCTCGCCCACAAGATGCAATATTGTATGGCGGCCAACATGGCACCACCAAACGGTCGGCAGACCAGCAATCCAGACGCAGCAGCCGCGGCAGCAAGGGCGTGGCAGCGTGATCTATGAAGATCCATGACTCATGGCCCATGGCGGCGATTTCATGACATGCGTTGTCAGGTTGTGTAACTTCCCTATGCTATGCTTGTTTCAGAGTTTGTTGAGCTCATGTATAGACAGTGGGATGGCACTTGTGCCTACTACCTGGTATTCTTCACGGACAAGTTGTCTGCGAAGAGATACAAAGAAGAAGCTGCAGGGCTGGGTTTTGCCCTGCTTTGCAGCCTGACAGACAATCTGGATCAGGACCAGCTTTTGCAACAGCATGCAACAGCTAAGAAAGGGGCAGGCCGGCCACCCCACACCAAATTCAAGACAAGCGATGGGACTGGGTGTGAGCTGTTTTTGTGCCTTCCTGGCTGCAATGTTTTGCCTCAACTCGTACTCGATAAATGGCCGGTGACTCTGGCAGTTTTTATCATAACTGTGAGCCCATCCCCTTTTTTTGGGATAACAACAACATGTTTTGCCCAACATTGGGAGCTCAAGCTGCACGTCCAATTTGCCAAAAGACTCTTCTTGAAGAACGATCAGTGGATGAATACATCCCTGCACATGCTGTGGAGTATTGTGGTGTATTCAGTATTCTTTCTTGAGTGAGAAGCCAAGGCCATGTCTCTACCATGCCTCGAGTCACCTGAGAAGGATGTGGAGACCCAGACACGTGTGTGCTTTTCTTATGTTCTGCAATGGGGAATGCAAGTGTGATCCTAGCAGACATCTCACAGCCCGCAAGAGGAGACGATAGTCTCTTCCTTTCCCGCTGCAGACATGGCAGGGCTCTTAACAAGCAAGCCACTGTCTTTACTGCCTAAGCCAAACCTGCAAGGCAACATCTTCAAGCATTCCTGTACCAGTGCAAGCGGATGCTCCGGAGGTTTGGATACAGCAAGTCCGTCAAGAGACCTGGCCCAGCATGTCTTGTGCGCTTCAAAGGCAACTGGGGAAGTCCACCCGGAAGCATGCGCCTAAGTCCCTGAGCCGAGCATGATCTCAGCCTGGAGGCACTCAAGGTTTGGATTTGCACCAAGGAGACTGACTCTGACAGCGACTATCGTCCAGGTCCAAGTGAGGACTGTCTACCTGTTGTATCGTTGCGTTCTCAACAGTATGCCTCTTTTTGAGGACCCTTTGTGGGAAAGGCGTCAGGCCATTCTCAACAAGCTCAACAAACTGAATGACATTAGTTGAAGCATGCCAAAGCATGTCAGCATTCAGAAAGCATGCTGAAGCATGCTAGCGCGCCTGCCAGCCCAGTGTTGCAGCGGGCAAACGTTGCTGTATCGCTGTCAGGGAATCCATGATGCTTCTCAGGCATGAAGACTGTGGCATGATCTACTCATGACTCTAGTCTGCTTGGCCTGGCCCTTTACAGCTTCCACTCAGAGATGAGGTTGCATGCCAGAGCCTGGAACGGTGTAGTTAGAAGTCCATTTGTTCTTCATCCACCTGAAATGTTCGATATGTTTGGGCTTTTTATGTTGGGCAATTCAACAAAAATGTTTACAGTAGGATTTACGGTAGATTTTCCTAAAGCCTCTAATTCCTCTTCTGGGTTGTCAGAGCCAATATAATCTACCACAAATTCTACTGTATTTCCTTCCGATGAGCCATGGCTCAGCAAGATTCGGCCCGCACTCGGAAGCATCTTGTTGGTTGCGACGTTTTTGATTTACGCCCGCGAAGAGCCATGAAGTTGAAGCCAGGAGCGGCACTCTTAGAGGATCAGTTTGCTGCAGTACACATGGTACACGGTACACAATGGACTTATGAATAAAGTGTAATCCAGCAGTGCCTCCAAGAATTGCAAACTCGTTTCGCTTGCTTAGGCTCACGATGAACAGCCATCTCAGACTGCCAATGTGGTTCATGAGGAGCAGATGATGCTGCAATCTTCGTTCGTTTCTCAATTTTTCGGTCAGGATTTACAACTGTGAGCTTTTTCAAGGGGCATGTACTTGCCCATCGGCAGGAGATAAGAAGATCAGAAGCAGGCAATGGAGTAGTAGTGTGAACACTTGGCAGATGGGGGGGTTGCTTTAAAGTAGGTGGGATAGGAGACAGGGTACCCCAGGACGCCCTGTTTGGCGACCTGTTTCCTATGGCTATAGCCAGAGAAGCAGGGCAGAATGAGACCAGGAAACAGGGGGAAAGGGGGGAGAGCCACTAGAAGGGAACCTCTTCCAAGATACTTAAAATTCATGCTTCTTGCTAATGCAGGTCACAAAATACGGAAAAAGAGAGGGGTTTTTGCTGGTTTTGTAAGAGGAGAGCCACTGGAAGGAGTGGGTGCTCCAAGTCACCCCCCTTAGGCCCCCCCCCCCTCACTACCAGAAAATAGGTCAGACCTATTTCTCTCACCCCCGGTTCTGCCCCCCTTAAGGGGAGGGGCCATCTTGGCAGCCAGGACAAAAATGTACAGAAACAGAGGCAGAAAGAGAGCACTGAGCATCCTGGCAGGCTGAAGTGGCCTTCATGCTTTGCAAGCCTGTTTGTCCTAGAAATCAAAACGGCCTTCGAGAGACATGTGCAGCCCCGAGCATCTGCTGTTTGTTTGTCCACTGCATGTGTACTTTCTTGTGCATGCTGCGTTTTGTTGAGTGTGAACCCTGCCGGTTGGTTTGGGCAAGCCCACCACATAATCCTTCCAGGATCAAATGATAGGCGCTCAGATCCAGACACCTGGGGCCTTGGGACCATCATGGTTCTCCATTGCGATTCTTTCTTTGAATCTCCAATGCCGGCAAGAAAGTGGGACTTGGCTATTGAGAATGAGCGGATGTAGCGGGTCTGTCAAAGCAAGCCTGGGAGATGAGATTGCCTTTTTGGTCTTCCCGATGGTAAGTCAACGATTATCGTTGGGGAGAGATCCACAGGGAAGGATATGATGATGCTTTTTCAACTTCTCATCTACAAGTATAGAGTATAGGAGGCAACAATGGGAAATCCCTCAGCTTGTAGCAGGTCCCAGTGTATGAAGAATGGAGTAATAAAGCAGAAGGAGAATGCTTGCCACGTTCTGTCACTTATTTTAATTTTGCTGGGCCCGCAGCAGCCAACAGCATGCATCTCCCTGAACATCTGCCTGAACTGTTCTTTTTTTTGTGCGCAAGTAGTACTTGTACTAAGCACCTTTTTCCAGCCACACGCAAACCAAACCTGACTATGGAGCTATAGGCCTTCAACAAAGTAAGTCTCCAAGAAGTCGCAGGGTTCTGGGTCTCCAGGGTCCAGAGATCTGTAGGGCACATGGGATTGTTAAAGGGTCTGGGGTCTAGCGTATAGCACTGGTAGTGGGCTGGTATAGGGTTCGAAAAGTCTGCGTCCAGGGGGAGTCCGGGGAGCTAGGGGCAGAGAGAGCCCAAGGGGTCTAGGGATGCGGGGAAAGTGGGCTAGACTAGTTACTTGAAAAGGGCTTGTTCAGGAAGTCTTGAAAACAGCTGCGTGAAAGCAATTCAACATTTCATGGATCCTCATGGTACATCCCAAGAATCGGTCTGGTCTTGCTGAGGCCTTGTCAAAGCTTTATGGTCGACTGAGCCAACTGCATTTGGGCCCAGGCCTTGGAGGCGACGCCGAGCGCTTTCGCCTGCCCCCCAGGACATCCCAGGACGTACTGCAAAGATCACGCAACGTGCAAGGTGTGAGGAGATGCGTGACTTGCTGGTGGAACCCAAGCACTACGAGCTGGAGGGCCAGGACAAATCAGAGGCAAAAGTAGGGAGCCACAACATATGCGTGTGATTATGTGTGTAAGTTTGAGCTTTGCGCTTCGTCTGCATGCTGGACGGGACAGGAAGCAAACCTTGACGAGCAGCGGGAAGGCGAGCCATGAGCCTCGTTTTCTTATCAGTTTCATACATCGTTTTGTGATAGCAGTCTTGATCATCATGCGTGTCGTTCGGGCGGTTCATGTATCAGTGCTGCTCGGGCACAGGAAGAAGAAGAAAATGAGGAGGATACTGCATGAGCTGCTTCTGACCGTGTGATTGGCCAGCATCTGAAGTATCTATTTCAATTCATGTTTGAGTGGACCTTTGCTTCAATTGATGTCTGACTTTGCATCACTTGCCTCTGGCCTCCGGCAGCGTATGGCACAAGTCCTAGTCATACAAATAATGTTCCACAGTGCATACGAGAGCCTGATCCACTGCAGCCCCCCGGTTCCGGGCAACACCTCAATATTGCAAGTCAAGCAGCAACCCTAGATCACCTGACTCAGAAGTCACCCTAGCCTTCAACTTGTCAGTAACTCGTTGCTGCAGTAGTATGAAATTTGATGGCGGTGTAGCCGACTCTGAGTATCAGCCGCGTACCTACCACTGGCTGTGGAGGATTTGCATTGGTTCGAGAAGTGACGCTGGTGGTGTGTGACGAATCAAGGCCTGAAGATGCGGATTCTCCAAGGCTTGTGGACGTCGATCAGGTGCAACTTGTCATAGAACTGACATGCACTCTGAAGCCGTCTGCAACCGACAGAACAAGGGGCCATGGTTTACGTTTGGAAATGTGCAGCAAACCACCACCAGCCGGTGCAGCTGAAATGTTCACGACCATGTCTGCGTAACAAGGTTATTGCATGAGCGCTTCGCTATTTAATGTCCTTCCAGCTAAGTTAAGTTTAGTCTAGTTTAGTTGAGATGTGGTACTTTGAGAGGCCTGCAGCATGCAAAACGATAGGGAATCACCTTCAAAACAACAGGCTGACTGCTACAACAAGACTAAACGATGCAGGAGCACTCTGTATGCACAGCCCCTGTATGTTGCATCAATCTGCATCAATCCGTCCGTCGCTCGTATGCCAGTTTGGCGCAATGTTTCAGGCGTTGGAAGCAGCATGAAGCAGCATGCCATCAACATTCCAGTGTTTCTCGGTGGGACTGCAGGGCGCCTTTAGCAGACTCGTGTGTTCGACGCTAGACAGGAGATCGAAAGAGATCGAAGCCCAGGTCAACAGACCACAATTCTGCGAAGATTGCAGGTGACCACAGCAGATCTCAGGACATGTCATCAAGTGTCGGACAGCCTGCTCAGAGAAGGGGCAACCTCTAGATGCGTGTTGCATTTCACCTTCGCAGCATTGGTGAAGGTTCGTGCTCCAGCTTTGAGTCACGGATCACGCATGCATGTAATGCAAGATCAAGGTAAGACAGGAAGCGGATTCGGTATCAGACGTTCACCGCACGACGACAAACCCGAGCTGTAAGCAGCTTTGCTGCAGGTCATATGTATATTCTAGATGCGTAAAGGTATGCACATGGTACCACTGCCATCGTGTTTGCCCTTCCCGCTCTCATATCCTGCTTCTTTTATGAATCCGCCCCAAGAGCAGGCAGTTGGGGCAGTCAACGGGCACCTAGCCTCCAAAGTCATCAGCATCGCCATCAGGCTTGCACGTTCGATCCTGTTCGCAAGGCATAACATGGCAATTAAAACAGAGGCGCAAGACAAACGCCTGAAAGCAAGGAGTGAATGTAGGTGCGTGAACGTGGCTGCCTTCAGGGTTGGGCAGCCGGTGCAGCCTCCGATGTTTGGGGACAGTAGCAAGTCTGAAAGTAAAGGTTACTGCTTTGGCATGGCCTTGTGGGCTGCAGATTCAACGTCCTCTTAAGAGGACTCAGCCTGCCAGCTTTCAGGTGCCTTCAGTGCGCCCAGCAGCACCCGTCGGCTTGCCAGGCACCACTTGAAGAAAGTTCTGGGTAAATGTGTTCCTAAGACATGTGAGGAGAACAGTTCGATAGAAGCACACGAGAAGCTGATGCATACGACTCCTCAGACACGGAGTTGGGCGTCTGCACCGGCACGCTTGAGGGGCAAGCAAGATCAGCGGCTTTGATACCTATGTTCGGCTGCGGATATCTCACATGGTGCAAAAGAACTAGTTCCGCAGCATTCAGATTTGACTACTAGAATGTTTCTTTGTGCGGGTTCAAGTTGCCGCAGAATTTAAGATTTTGCACTTGCCACAAGTAAGAGCTGTGTTTGGATCGATGAAAGGGTCTTGTCATGGTGATTCAAGAAGCTGTTTCAGTCTGAGTCAACTGGGTTGGCAAGAATCCGTCGCCAGTACTATAATGTCAACATGTCATCTGTTGCGGTGGCAGGCGCACGTGGGAGCGGTCCCTGAAAACCAGGTGCGGGCATGTCACAATTGTCCCAGCAAAGATAAGGATGTTGTGACATGGCACGAG